AAAGGCAACCATTTAAAAATCCATAGGAAAAGATGTGAACTATTACAGGTCAAGTTGCGACATTCAACAATGAGCAAAACCCTTATTATAAATATAAAAATAAGGAGATGTGGTATGATTGCCAATGAGACAACCATCCACCAAAATAAGCTAAAAGACCCCGGGATAACAAAATATGAAACAACCAAAAAACAGAAAGCAACACCCTAATTAATTTTACAACAATAAACGAAAAACTATCATGGCAAACAATATGAAAGGTTCCCAGCTTGGGATAGGGACAAAACGAATATGGCGGGGTTAAACACGTTTGAATGCAGTCAATCCTCCACCCCCCCCCCCCCCCCCCCAAACCATAGAGATTGGCGTAACACAACATAAGAACATACCGTAAAAATCATTTGGGAAGGACTTGAATAATAAGATCGAATCTAAGCAGAAAAAAAAATTAACAAAATAACAAAAAGACAAAAGACACAAGGTACCGAACATAGAGTACTTTCAGCTACTGAAAGCTTCTTCAAATCCCAATTTCTTCTAATGAATAGTCCAAGACTAAAATATCAATCAGTACATCTCCAAAGAACCTAGTGCAAAGACGTCATAAGAAGTCCGATGAAAGCATAACCTTACATGCAATGCAAAACTACAAGTATCGACAGTTTTTGTTTTGTCTTGTTGCGCTTTTTTTAGTTTTCTAATGTTTTGTAGACTGTTTTTTGCCTATTCGTATAAGATTTTTTTTCTTTCCGTTTGATCTTAGGATCGTCTGTTTTTCTTCGACTTACTGTGGTTAACACTCTCCCCTTCTGAGGGTATTTTTCATCACTACTTGTTTGACGAATTTCACGCTTTCAGCATTGACAAAGATGTAACAAAATATTTTGTGGTTTTCATTTCACTGTATTCCACAGCACAGTAACAATCAAAATAGAAATAAAGATTTATCGCAACTTCACTCGTTAGGGATTGGTGTTTTTCTTTTATATTTACATATATAAAGATAAGCAATCTATTGTACAACGTGCAAAAAATAAACCGTTTACTGCACGATTGTTGTTTCACAAAAAGACGTCAGAGCTATTTACCCGTCAACTGTAACAAAGGTAAAAGTAGCTACTTTGTACCGGAAGTTTGAACAAGTTTGTAGTAAATTAGATTTATCTTTAGATTATCAATATGATGAAAGATTTAGATGTCTTGATTGGCATTTGCCCTGTATCAGCTTGACACTGACGGAAACGATATACGAACTTGTTTTATTAGTTAAACAAACTGTTTGATCGATATCTGACTTTTGTATAATTTATAAAATGATTATTTCTTTGCTGTATCTACTTAATATTGTCCATATATTTGCCTATCTTATCCTTTTTCCATGTTTACATGAAAAATTAATAAACAACTTACTCGAGGGGGAGTGTTTGGTTTCATTTCGTGTTTTCTTTTTTTTTACTTTATGAAAGATAATATGCTGAATTCAACATAGAAAAAAATCCAATACCGTATTTATTTGCATCTAACTATTTCTTGATAAAATTTTGGAAACAAAATTTCACATTAAACTTTAGCCGTTACCATCTAGGGTCGACTTTCACTGAAAGAGTTGGAACCTCTGTTCATGTAACATTACAAAAATTGTAAACAGTGAGTATCCATCATTTTATAGAGTAGAAAGGTAAAAAAAGGTTAATATGGACACTCTAAAATTTATGCAGACTGATTAATAACTATTTTCAGTTTCTTGTTATTTACGTTAAGTTTTGTGGATATCATTTGATAAAACAAAATAACTAGAGCTTTTTGTAACAAAATCATTTCAAAACAGTCCTTCATTAATTAAAAAAACCCACAACAAAACGTATTTTTTTAAATTTAGCATTCCTATGAAGATGACTCGTTTGCTCTTGTAAAAATGAGAATTTTGTTTATTTGATAGATAAATTAAAAAAGAGACTCACTAAAACTGTGATGACGTTTATAACTTTTTTTTAATGATTGTTGTTTGAAATAACACATTTAACGTTTAGAAGATAAAAAATAACTCCTTTCAAATGTTACTAAATGTATTATTAATCGCTTCTGAAAAAATATTTGATAAATTACAATATCTATGAATTGATATCTTTCTATTTTTCTTAGTACAGTATGCTTTTTAATAATGCAAAACTCAGTACAGATATATTCATATATTTTTTTTATTTTAAATAGATTTTAACCTGATTCATACAAAACGACGTAAAATGCTACTTTTCTGTTCTTTTATTTGGAAAATTTAAACAGATTCTCACAGTGGTATCTTTTAATATTAAAAATTTTACTTGTTTTACCACACACGAGCTATTTTTCATAAAACGTATCAATAAATAATCCTAAAAAGTCATTATTTTTCTTGGAGGACATTTAACAATATAATGCGAAAATGCAAAATTTAATCTACAAGGAGACTAGATTCAATTCAAGTACACATTTCCACAAGACCATTATGTTTTTAATTTCATTCAAGTTTCTCATAGAAAATTATACAAATATTAGATTTTTAAGCAAAATCAATCAAAAGTCACACGAAGTGATGAGTACGATTTGACAGGTATCTATGTTTGAAATATCAATACTTCAAGTTTGAAATTATTGCATATATTTTTAGAAAAATACAAGTACGAACTGATTTGAAGTCAAATCATTTTTGAACATCTCCATCAATAAATAACACTATTGTTTTCATAATTTTGACAATGCGCCGATAGTAAACTACAAAAAAAATATTCAATTTCTTTCAGTAGTATATACAATGATTTCGTTTTATAACAAATTTTGTATCAACGATTGTAGTTTTTGCTCCTTAGAGTTTTAGCTACCTGTAAAACCAGGTTTAGTCTACCATTTTCTACATAAGGAAATGCCTGTACCAAGTCAGAAATATGACAGCTGTTTTCCATTCGTTTGATATGTTTGATCTTTTTATTTTGCCATTTGATAAAGGACTTTCTGTTTTGAATTTTTCTTGGAGTTCGGTATTTTTGTTATTTTACTTTTTATATATTATCGTACATTTGAATAAAGACGGCAAACTATTTTTTGTTTTCAAAAACAGATATGTGTAGTATTGATAATACTAAGTTTATCAACAAACGATTCGCTCCTCGTTCTTTCAAATACAGTTGTCATATCATACTAGTAATGAATTGAAGTGTCAGATTTAAATTGCAACAGACCATTGATTAACATTTCCTTTGACTTACACTTTTCCCTGAAGTCATCATAAATAGAATTTGTATAAAAATTCCGGTTACATAGAAATATAGATAAAATATGATACCAAGAAGGCAATCAAACTGAAGAAGTCAAGGAAAGAAAAAAAACCACTTCAACCTAAAGACAACTAAAGATTTCTAACCCAACCCCACCAAAAACCAAGGATGAACTATGATTTTCCGGGAGGGTCAGCAGATCCTGATCCACCGATGAAATGATTCTCTAACTGAACATGAGTTGCTTTTGATAGTATTGTCATACACTGGATTGTATGTTAATAACGCCCTTTCACAGACCACTTGGCCTGATGAGATGAAAGTTTACAAGAACATCCTGTATTAAGTCGTTATAAGAGTTTGTTATTTTTGATGAATCCAGTATCAAAAATGGCTTCCATGGCCAACTAGGAGTTTGATTGACTGTAAGAAACCAATATAAAGATTTTTGTATGAGCCTGTACCAAACTTGCAGTATTTGCCGATCTAAAACCCGAGATTGCTTTAAATTTTGAACTGTTTAACACAGAAACAGTTTCACAGATTACATATGACCCATGGATGACGATTCAATGATCCTCTTCACACTTGTTTTTATCCATGTTTACAAATACTACTAAATGTATTAAAAATATGACTTTTTCCTCTACCTAAAGTTGTAATTTTGTTTAGGTTTGAAGTTTTAGGTGACAGGCAGAATAGAACTTAGTTCGGAACAATCATCTTTCAATCTATGATCAGCTTCTTGGAAACCATATACGAGTGGAAGATGTCAAGGATTAGCCTTATCCCGAGAGACGAATTTACAGACAATTATTTTATTAATATATTGTATATCTATATATATATAGTGAGTAGAGAATAGAGGCTCCAGAAAGTTGTATTTTGCCCTGATTGACCGGACCGGAAGAATTCATGCAGCTAGCAATGCTTATTACTTGTAGTATAGACATTATACAGAATAATAGTTAGTACATATCTACATTTCGAATGTTCATATTTGTTATTCGAATTCAAAAGGCCAAAATATTGACCTAAGTTAACGTTGTCCTTTTTCAATTTTGTCTCAAACCTTATTTTTACGTGTGTCATCGGTTAAAGTTTAATATAATAATTCAACATCTGCATTTAAGAAAACTCATCAAGGATACCATATTTATACATTTTACCTGTACCAAATCAGGAATATGGCAGTTGTTATCAAACAGTCCGTTTCTATGTATGTTGGCGTTTGTTTTTTTTTTTTTGTAGCATTTCAGTGTTTATGTTGTTCCGTTGTCTTCCTCTTATAGTTGATGTGTTTCCCTCGGTTTTTGGTTTGTGACCCGGATTTGTTTCAGTTAAATCGATTTATGACTATTGAACAGCGGTATACTACGGTTGCCTTTATTTACGTCAGACAATCGTTTCGTCTACATAGGACTCATGAGTGGCGTTCAAATTAAAATTCTGTAAACCAACTTATTATCGTGCATACTTTATTTCGCGTAAAATTCTTTCAAGCCAATTTCGCGACGATTTATTTTCGCGATGTTCTCATTTTCTTGATAAATTTATATAAGGGAATATCCAAGTTTTACATAATGGCGACGATTAAAATTTCGCGTTATTTTCCTTCTCGCAAAAGTTGCGAAAATAAATCGGTCGCAAAAAGTAGTTGGTTTGCAGTAATTGGAAGTTCATAACAAGTACGAAGTTGTAAAGCATTGTAAAACATATATAAATACATAATAAATAAATCATGCTTACTCTTACTTTGACAAAAGAGCCAGCGTATCCACCTATCCTAGGTATATTTACAGCTAGGTTTTTCACACTAAATACTCCAGCATGGAATGGACAATAACACTGAATATCTAAATGTCTTAATCGTTTCGGACATCTTCTCCTCTTTTCAAATCTTTCTAAATTTAAGCAAATATTGTCATACGTGCTGAAAAATAAATTAGAGATAAATTTTGTGATATATAAGTAGAGAGGAAAGCTGAATTTATCAGTGAATCACAGAAACATTACATAGGATGTATGAGAGAAAAAGTAGGAATTGTTTGGAAACAAATGAAGCAATAATAAATAGCAGTCTGACGAAACTTCCACATTAAGTTATAAGGGTTTTAGGAAGTGTAGGCCACATAGCCTTCATCTAATTTTCAAAGGGTTTGCTATGATATACCAACTCTGATTTGTTTGAATTTTTCGACCAATCAATTATATTTGATCCTCTTCAATACTGTTAATGTACTGGTCTACATTTTATACATACAAACCTCACACGTCCTTTTGGCGAATATGTAAAAGGCTAGCTTTTGATAACTTCAGTATCGATTTGTTCATGCTTGATACAGGGATAAATACTGATTAATTAATTTAAGAGGACGATAAACACAATAATGTATGACAAATGTAACAATTTTAAATTTCCATCAGTTGATTTCCCTTTCCTGAAGAGTATTGTACTTTTGCATTTTCTGTGTATGGTGAAACTATCCTACCATTGATTCGCTCACCAAAGGGCTTATGTCAAAAACGCGACTTTTCACAGATTGAAACCGTTGCTTCAGAATCAATCCTCTAAGGCATTTTTCGATTTAGTTGTCAATCCTAAGACAGTTTTAAAGTGCTAATTTGCATTTGATGTATAAATATGAATTAGAATGTAGTTGTATACAAAAAAAACAGTCAATATAAGAATTTAAAGAAAATAAACATTTGCAATAATAAAATGAAAGACGATAGCAAAGACTGATTTTCAACAATGCGTGAATTCAACTTGTGTCGCTGCATATGTCAATACAAGGTTAAGTACGCAGTATGGTATCACAATGTAAACTGTGGTCCCATAATTCTTGTTTGAGATGAAGCGGTGGATATCTATATGACGTGTGCAATACCTTAGAAATGAAACTGATACGTTCTTTTTGTGTATGAATTACTTAATTTTATAATTATATCTTTCAAATTGTTATCCTCAATTTTGAATTTTGGCCCACATTTAATTTTACACCTCTAAATTTGAAAATTGTTTGTTATTGTTAACATTTACTGTTCATACTGAATTCATAAAGTAGTTAAATAAAATTAAGTACAAAGTGAATGACATTTATCATAAACATGTAATTACTGCGGACATAATGATATATAAACACCATATTAAGTCCGGTAGACCGCACACGTCGTCATGTTCCACCCTGATATATACAGTCAGTTCAATAGAATCAAAACTATTATAGAAAGCAGATCTTCTCAATTACATCTTGTCTTACGCGACATCCTTGCTCGTACAAGGATCTTCTACTCTCGTTTTCTATAATAGGTATCTCCCATTATGTTAATTGGTCCACCTAATTTCAACCCATTGTCATTTGGAGATGATCAAACAGTGTATTGCGAATTAAAGTAGGGACGACGACTTATATTTTATCAAAGCGCGACAAGTTTGGATTGTCAAGTATTGTTATTTCGGAAAACATCGTTCAAGATATTGAAAACAAGACAACGATGTTAAGTACAGTCTATTTGAAAATACAAAAAAAGGGTTAGGTCTCAGTCTAAACGCAATTCCCATCAACTAACACTTGGTTAGCAATTGCACTTTGGGACTTGTCCACCTACTGTCCACCTAGTAGATAGTGTTTTTGGTACTCGTATGATTTAAAAGATACGTTTTGATTGTGAATTTAAATTTAGTAATTGTAATATGCACCATGATGTCATGAAATGTAATTCAATATCCTGCATTTATTATGTTTTCTCCTAAAAATAATTTCATATTCCCAAAAGTTATTCCATGTCTTTTGTTTTACTCTAGAAAGCGCTTTTTCCTGACAATTTGAAAGTACCCTGATCGAATATTGACCATCTTTTCTGTTGTTGCAGCTTATCAAACAATATGTCTAGCTGACAATCAAAACATTGTAGACCTTTCCTCTGATACCTTTTTTAATATGATGTCTTTATGTACATACTAAATACATACTATGATAATGGAATGAGTGCATTAACTTACCATGATCCTATCTGGTTATCAAAGCACGGTAGACTAAATGGAATTCTGTTAAAGAAATACTTTGTTACTTTCATCTCTATAGAAATACGTCTAGGTAAGTCATGTGTAATATTTCCCGCCATGGAAAGTTCCAGCGTTCCCGGTGTAACTATAGGATTTGGATGGATTTTTACGTGATGAAAGAGAATAGGACGATTTGGATCAGAACCTGCAAAAAAGAAAACTACTACAGAATAACAATTTTGAAAAGTCCTTTATGAATATCTTTAGGTCCATCATTAATCAATGCTTTACCACTGCCCATTGATCGCTGTAGCGCAATGAACATATTCTAATGTGATTTATTGATTTAAAGAAGTCATCTTATTTTCATATGTTTATACTTAGAGTTTTTCACCTTCATCATTAACTTTTTTCTGATTTTGGTAAATAATATATTAGAAGGATTTCAACAAAACGGCAGAATTAGATCCATTTTAGATAAAACGTGTTCTGATGTCAATGTGTATAGCAATAGTAATCTCTCTAAAATTATATCTGTAATGTTTTTCATAATTTATAACAGTATAATCATGTTGTATTACTGAAATTATTTGAACGAGCTTGTCAGCACAAAATTGAAAATGTCAAGGAGGCAGAGAATTGAAAATTATTTTTGGGAGATGAAAAAGATATTTATTGTATGAGTTTTTTAACATATTTGCCCTACTGATATTTCTTTATGGAACTTACTTTTCTTTTAAGCTCTAAATCCATGTCATCTTCAATGGGGCCTTTGCGTGGGTATGGATAAATTAATGACTAATATTTGACATTACTACAATTTGGCATTTTAAGTCTCTAAGATCCCTTTTTAATTCTTTTTGAGTTTTATTGACGTTTTATTCAAGGTCTTTGCTGATGCTTACACTTAAATAATCAACAACGTTTTAGTTTATATTGGAGCTTACGTATATGTATATCTTTATAAAATCTATATGTCTTATTTAAATCTTAAACGATAGAAGATTGTTTTAATCTTTATGTAAGACCACAACAGTTTTCTTATATATGAATACGAAATATTAGAGGCAACTGTAGTTTACCAAATATCAAAATAAATTTTTGATATACAAATCGAAGGGCTAACGCGTTGAGAGTATACACTATTTAGAAACTAAGGTTTCATCTCCCTTAGTCAAAGTTGACTTAAGATGGACTTGGCTACCATTTGTAGGTCTTTGTTGGTCATATAGCTCTTCAACTGTTCCTTTTTTATACATCCTTGGCTTCAAATATTCGTCTTTGAGCGTTCCTGTTGAAGATAAATCCAGAAAAGCGCTTCGGACGCATGAAATTTATAAAGTTTTATTTTCATTTTCATGAACCTCAAAAGGAGCGAGACCTGTGCGTCAACAGGGCACGCATCTCCTGATATTTTCGCCTTGTGTGCTATGCGAATCTAGACTCGTTCCAATTGTCACGATGGACAGTTGGACACATTCGGTAGAAATATCTTACATACCTTTGTCAGTGTCTATTCGAAATTTTATTTAAGTGTTCTAAACTTAAATGTGGTACATTTGAATGTGGATATCAAAGTCAAAATTTAGGAAAACGATGAATGTAATAAAAGTGATTAAAATCTTAGCACTGAGTAATTCAAGAATTTTACTTGTTCCCCACAAATACTGCGACCGAGAGCAAAATTGTCTGCCTTAAAATCAAAACATGCCCCCCCCCCCCCCGCTCTTTTGGCAAGTTTTCGTCATGTCGAGTGTAAACAAGAGCATAGATCAGAATTGTTCTTGTTGAGAAATTCAAATTATACATGTAACATAACAAATCTAACTAGAGAGACAGTCAAATATAGTACTGAATTATAAACTCGTCATTTAATTGTAGTTTTTACTGTCATTTATAGCAATTTCATTAAACGTTTTAATATAAAAAAAAATTAGAAGTAAAACATATTGCCATTAATGGTTATATTTAGTAGATCGCACCTGTTTTACTGTAAATTAATTCGAATCGTTCAATTGAAAGTAACTTTCCACGTAAGTATCAATTAACATGTTGAACAAATGCCTACCGCATTTAATGATGTTTTCTTTTCATCATATATTCAGTTTAAGTCGTAAAAGACAACAGTGTGTCAAAACAGGAAGGTATCAATCATTTTATAATAGGCTTCAAACGTCTTGTTCTTCTATTGTTCATTCATTAATGCGCGAGTGTAATTGTTTTAGTTATTAACGTTAACAAATCGTAATTAAGGACCTTTCTGTAGTAGGTTTGCCTTGTTTGATTTCAACGGAATCTCTACTTTGATGTGTAATAAATCTGCCCTTGACGGTCCTGATTTACTTCGATTATTTCATAGATTTTGAATCTTTAGAGCTCTTCAACTGTTTCGATTCTTATACATACTCAGCTTTCAAATATTCGGCTTTATGCGTTCTTGATACAGGTGAATCCAGAAAGTCGCTTCGAACAATGAAATTTAGAATGTTGTTTTCATTAATTATCTAATTGTTCGTATGAACATAAGATTATGCATTAAAACACGACCCTAGGGACAGATTAAGACTGTTAGAACTTTTAGTGGAGTCTTCCTTAGCCACATTCCACCGTAACGATAAGATTTTGAGAAGCGATGTAATTCTTGCCATGCCATTGTCAGTTCGCTTACGACTAATGAGTTTGATTATCCCTTTTGATAGATTTTGTCTCACTTTATCAGGACTGAAAATGAAACATATAATATTTAAACACACCTTTTTCACTGCTCTATTTATTAATTTTCAGAGGCGTATGTCCTGTCCGTTATCATCCTCAAAGAGGAATATACATTTAAAAACAAATATTTTGAATGTCAACGTTATTACGTATTTTCCCATCCCTGGCTATCAAGTGTTTAGGTATGAGCGTCTCTGGTTAATCCAGATAAAAAGCATCGTACGCACAAAATTTGTAAAGTGTGATTTTCTTTCACGAAGTGTATACAAGAGTTTCTTAATGTATTTTGTCAAAGAAAATTGCCTGTTTTCGTAATAACATATTGACGTACAACTATACTAACTGGACAAAATTACCAGTTACCAGGTGTGTCAAAAATCTAGTATTTAGCATTTGTTGTGACACTTTCAAGTGCAATTCAATTATTCTCACATGGAGTTTCAAGTTGACATGCTTAATATAATTACAGGTTTATTATATCACAGGAATTTCAAGGAGGTGACCACTATGTCATTCTGTTTACTGAAAGGTTTTACGACATCGACCACAGTGATCTAACCAAAAACCACATATTAAATAATATATCATGTGTTGACCACAAATCAACACTAAATGCCACATATTTATATTGTTATATATGGCCGTTAAACTGGCATACTTTAAATGTCTTCCATATTTTTTAAGGGTAAAAAAATCCAAGTGTGTCGGTGCATATATTTATTTATTGTAACTTGCTATACATTTACACTTTGATGAACACTACATGTTCGATAGAGAATATGCCGTTTAGATATGTTAAGGTGTTGTGAAAAAATATCTTTATAGTGGCGTTTCGTTTTGTCTTTACGAAGTTTAACCATAAATAGTGATCCATAACAGTAAAAAACAAATCTGCGATAAGAGTAGCACAGCAAGTTCCCACTAGTATACTCCCACATAAATATTATCAAACAAAACCTAATAGCTTTGATCCTTTCTTTGCATGTCAAATAAATGTTTGTTTTTTTTATTATTATTTTTATTGTAACTTTTATAACTAAAAAGGTCTTGTACATTAAAATAATAAAAGGGATAGGACAAATCATATTTTAGACTTATTGTAGATATCTGACAGTAGCAGTTATAACAATAAATTTATTATCAATCTCTGCAAAGAAAAGATTAAATATCTCATTGAAATTTAATGATGTTTTCAATCAAGATATGTCACTTTTACTGTAAATGTTCTTAAAGAATACTAAACAGAAGACTAAGCTATATCATATTATTATAGTTAGAAATAAAATTGTCAATGATATGTCAAAATGAATTATAAAATAAAATGAAGTTTCTTAATTTGATGTAGCCGATCCTTTATAATTTTGTGCAATCAAAAAGTAAAAAGTGTTTCAATCACATCTTTCTTTTGAAGAAATACCTATCGATAAGATATAAGAATTGTATTTCAAACGATTTGAATATGTATTGCAATGAATATACGTAGTATAATTATACGAATGGGTTAACATATACAAAATGTTGCTTCACCATTTTCAATTAAATCTATCAAATACTCCATAGAAACTTGAACTTAGTTAAATATAAGTGCATTTCATGTCAAAGGTTGAATTAATACAATAGGTGTATGTTTCGTATGTTGGCCCTTCGCTGTAGGTAGAATTCGTTACCTAATAACAGATTTTTTTCTCACCTGGTACAAAAGTGACATTTACATGTTTCTTATACTAGTGCTACCGATTAGTCTTATAAACAGTCGTACCTATAAAAGTTTGAAGTATTGACAGTTTTTCACAACTATTTGCAGATTTCATATTTATATTTTCTCACAACCAACGATAACAAATATCATGGGTATGAATAGAGCCTAAAGAACGTAAGGATGGTTTATTTATTTTAACATTTATATTTCAAAACTTGATAAATGACAGCGAAAAATTTCATTTTTATACAGATAAGAAAGTTTATAATTTAATGAACGAGGTCAAATACATTCTTCTATAAGTGTTAAAATAAGAAATTATTATAAACATCTGGTTTTTTTATTATTGTTATAACTGGTTGTTTGAATTGTATTTAGGCTGTACATGGAATCCTAAACGCAATATTTGTTCAACATACGTTTTTTTAACTATGGATAAGTGTTGATACAATATGTCGAGTTTTAAATACTAGTAGACTGAGACTAAAACAGATGGATATTAATTTTATTTTTGTAAACTCGTCAAAGATATCAGGCTTATGATTTGACCTACCAGACGCGCGTTTTGTCTACATAAGACTAATCATTGGCGCTCGAATCAAAACAGTTGGAAGGCAAAAAAACAAATACAAAGTTGAAGAGCATTTAAAACCGAAAGTTGACAAAATAAGAGACTATTCTAAATATACTCATCTTATCTCTCCGTTAACAAGATAGTCGCAAACATTATTAATGTTATGTTTAAGTCTTTGTTTTGTGTTTTTGTCATGAATATGTGTTTTCCTATATCT